TACAGACTGTGCCACTATTCTAAACGGTAACCTGAGCAGCTCACCTAGAGAGTAATGAAGATACAGGCTTTTCAACAGAATTGCTTCTTTCCCATGGCTTCTTCCCAGGGTCTGAGAAGTAAGAATGAAGAATTACTATTTGCTCTGCTTTTTATCCCTGCACAATAAAAACATGAAACTGTTTTTCTTTATTTTCTTATATATACATACACACACACACACACACACACACGCTATGTCTAGACTGCAGGCTTCTTTCGAAAGATGCTCTTTCGAAAGCATCTTTCGAAAGAGCATCTTTCGAAAGATCGCGTCTAGACTGCAGGCGGATCTTTCGAAAGAAAAATCCGCTTTTTCGAAAGAGAGCACCCAGCGAGTCTGGATGCTCTCTTTCGAAGACAGCCTCTTTACATTGAAGAACGCCTTCCTTCGAAAGAGGAACTTTCGAAGGAAGGCGTTCTTCCTCGTGAAATGAGGTTTACCGCCATCGAAAGAAAAGCCGCGTTCTTTCGAAATAATTTCGAAAGAACGCGGCTTGAGTCTGGACGCAGGGGAAGTTTTTTCGGGAAAAGGCTACTTTTCCCGAAAAAACCCCTGAGTCTGGACACGGCCACAGAGAGACAGTGCTATGTTGATAGGAGAATTCTCCTGTACGGACAGCGCTATGTTGGTGGGAGAATTCTCCTATCAAAAACTAGCTACTACTCTTTGGGAGGTGGAGTAACTATGTGGACAGGCGAAGCCCTCCTGTCAGCATAGGAAGCATTTCCACTGAAGTGCTACAGAGGCGCAGCTCACTTTGCAGTATTGTAAATGTAGGTAAGCCATAACGGTGCAGTTTATTGGAAGGGTTTTCTGTTAGGGCTTACGAAGCCCAAGACCATCACCAGTTTATATCTGCATGTCTTGTAAATGATCTGTTATTTAATCTTTTGTTCTCAACTTCATCACTGAAACCCACATTATGTTAAGGGCTCAGTTCTTTTAAATGCCAAGCTTCTCTAATTCCCTTCATCTGGCACAGCACCTTGTAGAATCATGCCCATTGTGAGTAGCAACTGTGTTAAGGGAGGGAAACATTTGGACTGGCTCCGCAGCTGGTATAAATCAGTGCAGCTCCCCTTAACTCCCCTAACAAAGCGTATGCAGCACAAGCCATATTCCCAAAGTATTTAGGGTCCTAACTCTCACTGATTTCAGGGTGTTTGAGAATCTGAGTCCACAAACCTAGCTTGACTGTTGGGTCTTTATACTGCTCTGAGAAGAAAATTCATATTCACCTGCTATTGCTCAATTATAACAAAAATATTTGTTGATGTTCTGTTACTAAATCCCCCCTACTCCTAGCCAAGATAACGAAGCCAGATTCCAATGGTACAACGTTTCACTGAGTTAAGGAGAAGATGAAGAGTGCTAATAATCAGATTTAATACCTGCAGAATTCTGCTGTTGGCTAGGGCCTCGTGTGACTGGTGAAGGCGAGGTGCTAGCATCTTCCTAAAAAAAGAAAAATACAGGCTTCTAAATTTAAACAACATTTTTCAGGCGAATAGTCACTGATGGATGCTCTCCCTTTATCCATAGCACAAGCAGTATCAGTGCAAGCTTCCTGCCCATGTGCCTCACCGCTGGCTTGAGGGGACCACCTCTTGATGAGATGGTAGATCACTCCCTAGTTCATTTAAACTCCAGTCGCTCCACAAAGGGGGACATTTGGATGAGTGGTGTTTTCTTTTTAATCTTTTCTACTAGGATCTCAACTGAAGTCCACCCACTCAGCTCACTAAACCCACGGCAAATTATAACAATGACCCAATGCTACCGACTCACTTGGGCTCGACTCATGCTTGTGACTGAAAAGAATTGGCTGCCGTTGCCCGTTCCTTGAGTTAATCAATCTCCTAGTTCAGACAGTGTCTGTATTGCTGGAGAAATACAGGACCAAGTTCTGGTCTGTTCTCCCTACATAATTCCTCTGATTCAGCTGGATTGCATAGGAGTAAGCGAGAACAGGATTCAGACCAATCTCTCCACTAGCAGTTTCAGTTTATTTAGCTATCCTAACTAAGACATTAAATATTTCTTCCCGAAACCGGGCTGAAGTCAATTATATAACAGTAACCAAGAGCAGAATCCAGCCTAATGTATCTGACCTGTAAATATTATTTAAGAGCTCCCTATGAAAAAGCACTGAACACATCTGCTCAAATGAAAAAAGCAATCAGTCAGTTTGAGTGGCTGCTGGGTTTTGCATTAAGCATGATAGAAAGTACAAAACAACCATTAAGGTATTGCAAAGTTGTTACTGTTATACAGCCCATGGGTGAATTCCAGATCCATCACACCAAAAGCAGGCCCATTACAATGTGACTAAACTCAAGTTCTGAGTAGAATATGAGTTAATAGCAAAGCAGACAGTAGGAGAGCAGAGTCTGCGTAACTGTGCCTTTCATTGCTAGGCAAATGGTTCAAACCCCAGCTTAAGGAAAAGCTGTGAGCAGAGAGGATGAACATACAGGTCCTGCTCACCTAGCTAGGAGCTGCACGCAATGGAAGCCCTCACACTGATGGGAGTACAAGCACCCTCAGCACTGCAACTGCAGCCAGCCCTTCCAAACAGGCTGGGAAGTCATAGAAACATGTCCCAAAGAGGAGAAGGGAGCAGGTAGTGCTTTGTCTTTGAGGGTGGTGCTCTCTGAAGCTGTAGCAGCCGTGTGCCTGTGGCATGATGCCTCCAGGCTTTCAGCGAACTTCCACAGCGCGGGGTTCTGCCTTAAAGGTACAAGACATAGGCCAGAAGCAACAGAGCCTATAGGCCCAGCAGCTTCAGCAGAGAGGCAAAGGATTGCATGGAAGTGGGGACGGCACTACTCCTGTCCGCCTAGCCATGGTGCCTCTAGGGAATGTCTACACTCAATGAGAGGGAGAGAGAGGTGCCTGCAGCATATGTAGAAATGCCCCGCTAGCTTTGATCTAGCTAACTGAAATGACAATGGCAGTGAAGCCACGACAGCTTGGGGTGTACAAGGCCACCTTGAACTGCTAGTCCATGCTGCCACGGCTTCGCTGCTATTGCCATCTGAGTTACCTAGAGGAAAGCTAGCTCTGGGACTGCCCTAAAGTTCACTTTAAAATGCAATCAAAATCAAAGCCCTCATTTAATCTTTGAGGGGACAAACTGAAATATCCAGCACACGGACAGAATGGTTCAGACAGGTGTGCACTGAAACTACTAGTCCTGCCATAAACCCAAAATTCTTATTGATTGAGCCACCAAACAAACAAATGGACACCTAATGGTATGGCATACATTACAAAGATACACTGCAGCTTCTGAACAGCTCAGTGGTTAAAGTCCCCTTCCCCATTAGAAACCAGGTTTAAACGTAATCTGGCATCTGCAATGCACTGGTTTACTGCGAAAGTAAGTAATCTACTTTGCAAAGCCATCATGTATGATGGATGAAACAAGTCAGTTCTGCTCATGTCTGGGGCCCAGGGATGCAGCAAGCTTAAACTAAAATATCTGGAACTGATCTGAGATGAGATACTAATTGGATTTCCACTAGGGTATTTTCCTTTTGGGCTGAGGGATAAATAAGGTGAAGCCTCTTCAACCTAAATGAGCACAGTGTAAAGAGGCAACCACTGATGTGGTTTAGACAATATCTGGTCTGTGAATAAGAAGGGGATTCTTGTTTCAATTGAATTTAGTTTGTGTTTGATTGAATGTAAAAACCTTTACTAGTCATTTGATTGTGTGTGAAGTGGATAAGTACGGTGCTTCCAGCCTTCAAGTGATTTCAGTACAACAGCTAGTATAGAAAACCCCTTTTTGCTTTGCAGGCACACAATGCTGGTGAGCATTTCACTTACGTTTTGGCTTTCCTCTTCCTTTTTGTCAGCTGGCTTGTCTGACTGTGACGCTGCTTTCCTCCTTTGCACCAGGGTAAAAAGAAAGTAGGACAAAGTCAACCCTTTTCTGCACAAAGCTTCCATTGTCATTATAAAATACCAAGTCATGGCTTGGTGGGGGTAATCTTTTACTGCTGTGTAACTTCTTTAGCAGAAGACTGAATAAGTTGGCTGCACTAGATTTGATCAATGGTGAAGAATCCAGACTAGTCCTCTCTGAGGCAGGCTCTTCAGGCAAGGGATCGATATTTTGAGTCTGGGCTCCATACAAAGGTACAGGGTTGTACAGTTTAAAGGAACAGGGGTAAGAGAAAGGAAGAAAGAAGGGATGGAATCCAACTGTACATGGCACTGAGCAACTAAGAGGGATAGGGCTGCTTCTATAATGCAAAGAACTGGCACACAGGCTACTCTGATGAATGTTTTAACATTGGGCAAGATTATTTCCCCCCTATAATCCATACACAGAATGGACTCTCAATGTACATTTTGCATCTCCCAATCCTGACCCTCAGAGCTTAATCTGTAGGCCCCAGGGTCTACATGTGAGCATGGAGATGCAGGGCTGGGTGAAGTGTAGATTACCCCCTGTGATGGATAGGAGGAGTACAGGGCAGCACTCGGTGACGAAAGGGTTAAACCCAGGTAGCTAGCCAGGTGTTAGCAGGGGGCCAGAAGAACCAATGGGGATACAGTGCTGAAATTTGAATTGGATTAGTTACCTGGTTTGCTCTTCCTTTGTGTATTCTAAATAAGGGCTGGAGAGAGCAGAGGTAGGGAGCAGTATTACCATGCCTATGAGAAATATAGGACATGGGAGTAACTGGACCTTGAAGTATGGATCAGCACAGATCATGAGTAGAGGGAAACATGTATTTAGTTGCGATTAGGATATTTGTCTTTATTTTTGTGATTTATTTTGAACTTCTCTGTGTGACTCCATGCCTCCCCTACCTCCTTCACTATCTAAGAGTTGTCCCTAGAGATTTTCTCTGTGTTTTAATTTGTTTTACTTAAGTCGCTCTGTAACGCCTAGCAATCAAATATGCTTTATCAAGTGTATCTTTTGTTAATAAAAAATCACTTTAAGGTGATGATTTGATTCTTTTGTCCTGGAAAGTAACAGGGGTCTCTGTGTGTGATGATTTGAGGGTGGTCAGCTACCAGAGACTGCGGCTTTTTTCTCTCTTTTCCTTTTTCCAGCTCTTTTGGGGCAAAAGAGCTTGGGATACCCCCGAGGAAGGAATTCAAGTGTTCCCTCCTGTTTTTTTAGGGTGAAATCACTAGATAGTGGCAGCTTTTTGGTGTTTTTTTCCTCAGAGCCAGTGCATGTGTGACTCTGAGCAATTGGTCTGTGTCTAGCCAGTCTTACTGTGACTTAGGGAAGAGTTTCTCTGAAGATTTGCCTGGGAGAGAGAGCTGTGTGTCTGTGCAGGAGAGTAGTGTGTCTGTGAATGAGGTTTCTGAGTGCCTGCCTAAAGTCTCAGAAGTGAATCTGGAATTGAAAGCAGGGCAGGAAGAATTCAGTGATCAGGAAAACATTTCTCCGGAGCAGATTGCAGTTGATGGCCCGGGTGAAGTTCTTACTGAGGAAAAAGATAAAGTTCTTGAGGGTGAAGCTTGTGAAACTGAACTTGAACTAACTGAAAATGATTTGTTTGAGGGAGGTCAGTGTGCTCAGACACCGAGTGTGGAGACTGGCAGTTTGTCTGCTGGGAGTGGCAATGTGCCTGTGAAAGAAGCTGTCTCAGTTTCCAGGTGTGGGTCTGAGATCAGCCAGGGACGCTGGGACAAAGGAGAGACTGTTTCTCATCTATCTGTGCCTGGCAGCAGCAGCAGCCTGCCTGAGGAGGAAGAGTTTCTTTCCAGTCCTTTGCCTGCAGAAGGTACAACTCAGCCTGTGATGGCTGAGGATGGTGCACCAGAGTTGATGCACCTAGAGAGTCTTACAAATCACAACGCAGCTCAAAAGAAAGCAAGTATAGTTCAGTTTCTACTCTTCCTTTTTAGTACATTAGCCACAATGATAATGTGATTCATGAGAAGTGGGAGTTTGCACCTTTGACTCTCAAACTCTGCTTAGAGTCTAAAAGCACTTGAGAAAACTTAACACTTTTCTATCCTCTGCAGAGCCCAGCACCAAGATTGAGACAAGTGTGGATTGTTGGTGGTTTTCATTTAATCATCTGCATAATTCCTCGCATTTACATAGTGCTTTAGATTTCCAAAGTGCTGTGCAAACATCAGTTTATTAATCCTAAGAAAAACACTCACCCTACTTCTGTTCACATTATATTTTATATCAGTTTAACTATTGCCATGAATGGAGTCACTTCTAATTTGCACCAGCATCTTCAAAGCCCACTGCATCTTCAAAGCATAATCACACACTAGGAATTGCCAGTCTAGGTGCATCTGGGATCCCCCTTTTCCCTCACTCTTTACCCCTCACCTCCATTTCCAAACATTCACCCTCTTCATGTGACCAGCAGAAGTGAGCCAAAGATGTCCTCAAGTGAAGCTCAGTTTGATGGATTGTTTGCAGTGTTCTTGTAGCAGTGTGAGTTCCATGATAGTTGAGAGACACGGTAAGTTATTCTCTCTCTCAGAAAAAATGATACAAGACAAAAACGCTGTACCACTTTCCACAAAGCAGTCACTTCACTGATCTTAGTCCTTTTCCTCAAAGGAAACCTGAACACCACCTTCAAAATATAACTTTGCCAGACACTAAAACGTCTCTATTAATAAAGGCACTGGATTTATGGTTTATCACAATAATCCGTAACCCACCGACTGGAGCATTGTTAGTTTGGCCGTTGACTGCAGAATTATTAACTGTTCACACTGAATGGTCTCTTGCAATGTGTGTCCACTATTTATGCTAAACAGTCTGTCCCACCGTGTGACACTCTGGGTACGTCTACACTACAAATAAACACCAGCGGTTGGCTCGTGTCATCTGACTTGGGCTCATGGGGTTCAGATTGCAGGGCTATAAAACTGCTGTAGAGATGTCCAGGTTCAGGCAGGATTCCTTAAACTGCAGTTTAGACTCGTGACCCTGAGTCCGGTGTTTAATTGCAGTGCAGCTATATCCACACGGCACCTTTTCCAGACCCTGTGACTTCTATAGGATTGCACAGGCGTAACTGAGGGCAGAATGTGCTTAAGTCTTGAGAGTCTTCTGGGTGAGGTGAGCTTTGCTGGTTAAACTGGCCAGCACACTCAGAACTGGGCAGCTGCTTCCGGGCAGCCTTGTCTATGTTCTTCATGCAATGGCAGTACAATTTAATCTCCAGTAACATACAGAAGCTGCAGTGACACCTAAAATTCACAGAATGCATGCTGTACTGCCATCACTACCCAGTAAATACTCCTATGCCATTGCTAATAACAAATATTAATGCCCCCCACACTGCATTGATCTGGGAAGTTATTTTTTGGGAATCCAGGGAGCATGAAGCACCATGTGCTACTATGGGGGGACTTTGCTTTCAATCCTGTGCAGACTCATCAAGGCACCTGCTTACCCTGGCATCACAGTGAATATGCCGGGTCATACGTACGGTGACATTTTATTTTCCTACCTCAAAGGCTACCAATATGCAATAATTATCTGTTTGGGGTTCTGTTAAAGCTCCATTTCCTCAGAACACAGCAGCTTTCATAGACTGTAAACCAGCAAAGTCAGAGAGAAAACCCAGTAACTCCTAAGGCTCTTGCTCCCACAGGACTGGCTGGATCAACAAGAGCAGCTCAAGCTAGCCTGATACTATTGCTGCTGGGCAGTACCTATGCTATTGCGATGTCAAAAAAATGGGGCCCAGCAAATAACACCCACATCAGAACAGCAGCACAGCAGGCTGTGAACCTGATCTCTTGAGCTTCCACAATACTATGTCCCATGGAGATCTGCACATTTCAGAGAGGCATCAGAGCTGCCCAATTGCTAGCAGCTCCTGAAAGCATATTGTTCCATGGTCTGCTGCGGCACTTGTTCCAGTGTCTACTTTAGGATGAAGTACAAACCTTTTTGCCAGTAATTTATTCATTTCTTCCATTAGTCCTCCTCCTCCTCCTCCACTACTTGTTCGATTGGCATCGCTCTTTGAGGCCCCACTGGGGCTGGAACCTCCTGAACCATCTTCTGGCTTAAGACACAAATTGACATTTCAAATCACCAGAGGAATTTACTGTAAGCACCTGCCCTTTTTGACTAGCTTAGATAATCACTAGGAGCAAAACACTATGACTGCAGCGTGCAGTCAGAGGCAGGAAGCACAATGGGTCGGAATGGAAGCAAATGTAATTTGGGTCAAACCCAGTCGTTAATTCACATGCTAGGATTGGGAAACCACACTGTGGATTTTGTAAATACCTGAGCAAATGATGAAAATGGCAACAAAATACTTCTGATTTTCTGGTGAGATTATGCAACCCTGATTACTCTCAGAAGTACCTACTCACACATGGGCTGCACAATCAAGGCTTTATTTGACAAGTGTAGTGTAGTTTTAACTGCTTATCATCATGGTTGATAGCATAATACTAGTGAGTGTTCTACAGGATACGTTGAAGAGAAACCAATTACGTCTTAGTCATATGAAATCGATGCAGGCACCTGCTAGTTAATCTTCACTGAGCAGGGAGGATCAAAGTGTGAACTACTGTAAAAAGTCAGGAAAAAAAAAATCAATTGGAAAATTTCTTCATGAAAATTACCCAAACATAAAACTCTGCTTTAAGGATTATTTCTAATGGACAAATGGCCCCTTTAAAGGCCCAGCCACACTGCATGTGCAGCTCAGGAAAAGGCAAGTTCAAACAATCATAAAATAGCCTCTGCATATGCACCTGCAGGTATTGCGTATATAATCAGATAGGCAACTATGCACCTCATGTATTTGAAAATTTGACTCTTAAGAGTGAGCTCTTGGATCCACTGATGTCAATGGGAGTTTTGATTGAATTCGAGAGAGCCAGGAATTCCAGCACATATCTTTTCAGTCTTCCTTTCCATAACAGCCTGTACAAACAACTGCCTTTATGTGGTCTACGGAAAGGCCACTTTAAACCACATTTCACTGGGTTTTGTTACCCTTGCTGACTATCCATAAAACAGATCTGCAGAAGACTAAATAAAACTAGGTCAAGCATTCCTCATTCTCCAGTGAAGGCCAGACTGAAAACCACAGTGCCATGGTCCTTACCCGTTGTACTCTCCTGAGTTTGGCACCAGCCAGGGCTGCTGCTAGTCCTGACACTGACCCGTCGTCAATGCTACCTCCATGTCCTCCACCAGCTGGCAGCGGAGGTGGGGGTGGTGGTGCTGCGCCTGTAGGAGGCGGAGGTACTGGCGGAGGCGGCGGAGGTGGGGGCCCACTGGATGAAGCAGGGATTGTGGCAGCAGTGGAAGGATGACCAGGTGGAAGGATGGGACCTGAAATATACAGAAGATTAGATGACAATAAAGAACGTTCTCCCCCATCTCACATACACAACCTGTTCGCTTGTCACTGACAACTGGGTGAATGAAGGTCTGATGAGTGATCACTGCAAGGGTTACCATACAATTAGAGGAATGATACACTGTGAGTATGTCAATTGCATAACATCTGCCTTTTAGTTATCAACGGCACCCATGTCCTTATGTAAAACCCTTGTGATATGTAAATGCCACCTATCTCTTCCTCTCATCAGGCAACTGTTCTGTCTCAACACTGAGTACACTTCGTGTTAGCTTATAAGTTATATTTTAACTTTTCAGTTGCAGATAAATAAATGTTACCAATAACCTTTGCGAACATCAATGTCCACTTTTTAAATAAAGTCCTGGGCTTTAGTTATATATTTCCATTCAATTTCCATTTAATTAAATTTGAATGAACTAATGAATAATGTGTTTAATTTTAGCCACACTGTACTTCAACAGAGGCTACTGCAAGTAGAAGTGTCATTCAATGCACTGATTAGAATAGGTTAATGCCCCTGGTATATGTCTCCTATTTATAACAGGACAGAGTGAGTATCTCATTAATTACTCCATCTCCTCAAAGGCTTCTGTGGCTATTCAATTACAAACTCAATTGGGCAACAAACATTAATTTGAAAGAGGGCTTTTATTGGCTGAGAGAGAAATTTGGGAGTGATATTCAGAGATTAAGTCCTGTTTTTCTATTTCATTTTTTTAAATAACGTCACCCATCACTGTGGTCAGAGATAACCTCTAACATTCTGGGAATGATGCTTCTGCTAATAACTAGGCTCACAGTGCTGCTCCAGCAATGAACTGTAGGTACAGTACATCAGCTAACTTCTTACCTATTTGGGCCCACAATAGAGATAACTACCAATTCATAGTGAGTACGGGGAATTGTAGGTGCAAATCTACACACGCAAAATTAGAGGCCAGGCTCACGCCTGCTGAAAACTAATTTAATTATAAATTGACCAGACTAAAAAATATCAGGCACGCTTCTCCGCTGGTGTAATCTAGAATAAGTGTGTCAACGAAAATGGACGTACAGTGATCTGCACCAGTTGAGAGTCTGACCCAACAGAGGCAGCTGAAATATGTGGAGCAGGAAATTTGTCAGTGGAAGAAATATACAAATGTTTCCTAAGTTTTTTAGGTACATCAATTTAAGTACAGTGTGTTTATATACAGAGATGGGTCCAGCTTACCAAACCTGGTCTGGATTTTGAACAGGCACCGCACAGGCCTGTTCTAATCTAGTTATGTTAGCAATACAGGTAATATGCAAATTACAGATCTATATGCAAAATACAGATCCAAATGCAGGATTAGTCTACACTAGAAAAGGTCTGGTGGTTCAGCTACCCTGGTAGATGCTACTTACATAGATGAAAGAGTATTTTTGCAGGTACAGCTTATAATGGTTCCCCATATGAAACCAGCCATACTGGCAAGAGCACTATTTTAAATGTTTATATATATTTGTATTGTATTTAAAAATTTTTGTAAGCCGCCTTGAATATTTTAAATAGAGAGATGGAGTAACAATATTTAAATGCATAAAAATAAAAATGTTCTGCATCTATGCTAAGACTTTCATCAGTAGGAAAAAACATTACAAATATTACATTCCTAACTGGCATTACTATATTTGCAAAAGTTTCTAGAGTAGATCTGGCCTCAGACTACGAAAACACTCTCTCCCCAAAGATTGGAGCCTTTGGGGATGAGATTTTTTGTCCCGTCCATCACCAATTACAGCACTAATACATTCCTCTATACATTTTTCATATTTGTCTGAACTATCTGGTGCCATAGCATTTGTCTGATTACTTAAGAGTTTTTCCCCACATATTGTTCCAGGGACAGAGCAAAGTGGGCTTTCTGAACGATCAGGTCAAATCTAAAGCTCTTTTAAAGGTTATAACTAGTTCAAAACAAGTACTTACTTAAGTGGGAAATGGTTGATGAAGTCATGAAAGGAGGGGTCTTCTTAGACATATTCACCTCAGATACAGCAGCAGAAGGGGGAGGTAATGAAACAAAGTGTGACATGGCCTGGTACAATTGCTTTGTAGAATGAGGTGAAGATTGGGAGGACTGAAAAGAAGCCTGGGGAAAGGAACCAGCACGGCTGGCTATAACTGGTAGCTGAGAGATGGGTACAGTTTCTAAATATGAGAAGAAAAACCCATCCACACATTTTACTTGGGTTCTAGAGGAGTTTAAAGGAATTTGTGTGGTTGGGGGGTCTTTGGACTGCCCATTCAGACCTATCTGAGGTACATTTGCAGAGGCTTCTTGGACTGTTATATCTGTAGATCCCCTGATTCTGCCATTCTGGACAGGAATCACAGGAAGGACCTCTGGAATATGCGGCTGTGGGATAAAACCCTTCTGCATGGGGCATGTAGTGGTTACAGAACAGGAAGACTGAGGAGAGTGTGAAAGAGAGGAACGTCTAACCGGCTGGTGGTGTGCAAATGGAAAATGGGAAGGAGGCTCAGGTGGTGGGGACAAAGAGATCTGTTTGATGCTTTGTGCTACAGTCCTATGGTTTGGCCATACCGGAGAGGAGAAGGAACCTGGGGAGGGTGAGAGTTCGGAGGCAGAATGTCTGTGACGAAGCAGTGGGAATTCTCTGGCTCTGTTAGAGGGTTTGAAAGAGGTTATACTACTGGAATCAGGGATGGTAGATGCTGAAGAGATAATGTTTGCATAAGATGGCGGTGGAGGGGCAGCACCAGCAGAAGTAGAAGCATTGTAGTTACTGTAGTCAGGAGGAGGAGACTGGCAGTGGGAGGGGGAAGAAGACACTTTTATCTGAAGGGTAGAAACTAAAAGAATAGAAAAAGAAAAGTGAAAAGAATAAAACGGGCAATACAGCAAGGAATGAAAACAAGACAGAATGGTTAGGAGACAAGGAATTAAAAAGTAAATGAAAGCCGAAAATAAAAAAATGGATGGTGCAGTCATGATTTTAGTGATGTCCAGATGACCCCAGCAAATCAAGAGTTGTTTCTTCCTTTAATTCAAAGCAGTGACATGTACAGCAGTGACTAGAGATTTTGGTTTGATTTTTGTAAAGTTTCCTCTAACCCTACAAGTCACCTTGAGTCAAAATTACACACATTCACTTTATTCCAAGGACAGTGACAAATGGCACTTTGAACATACAGCCAGGCACACAAGTTGTGTGCAGCATGGAGATTCCTCCATACATGGTACAGGGTGTTCAGCAGAAAATGCCACTGGCTCACTTATTACGCCTGCATCAAGGTTCCTCGCAGAAGCAGAACCAGGGTTTTGTTTGTTTTAACTGACCCCAACTGACAGTTTAACTGACTCGGCACTCAGATGCGTGAGCCCATAGGAGGAGTTCAAAGCTGTGGGGGGTAATGCAGTATAACTGTCACTGGTTAGCTTTTCTGTGAACATAACTGAGCTGCTTTTAAATTTAAAAAGTGCTGAGTTTAAATTTAAAAATTAATCTTCTTTTCCAGATTCACAAAACAAAAATTTCTGGCTTCATCTTTCACAGAAGCCAAAGCCAGATTTGCAGCCACAAACCTTTCTACCCACCTTACCTCTTAGCAACCAGATAATATATTAGAAAATACTTTCAATCCATTCAGTAAATACTTTCCCACTAAGCTTACCCGAGCCTTCTCATTTCATTACCCCATCTAAGGGAATCTCACAGAAAGTTCTTCTTCACATAGCGCATAGTCAACCTGTGGAACTCCTTGCCAGAGGTGGCTGTGAAGGCTAGGACTATAACAGAGTTTAAAGAGAAGCTAGATAATTTCATGGAGGTTAGGTCCATAAAAGGCTATTAGCCAGGGGATAGAAATGGTGTCTCTGGCCTCTTTTTGTCAGAGGCTGGAGAGGGATGGCACGAGACAAATTGCTTGATCGTTGTCTTCGGTCCACTCCCTCTGGGGCACTTAGCACTGGCCACTGTCAGCAGACAGGCTACTGGGCTAGATGGACCTTTGGTCTGACCCAGTACAGCCATTCTTATGTTCTTATGTACACCTCAGGGAAAGCGGGAAAAGTCAGGCACAGGCAGTTCACCTTTACATAAGGCAGCGTTTCCCAGACTATGGGCCGCAGCCTGGTACCAGGCCGTGGGAAAAAAATACTGGGCCTCAGCATGGTTGCCGGGGTGCTCCGGGCTTCTGGAGTATGTGTGCGGCGCTGGGTCCCCCAAGTCCTGGAGCAGGCTGGGTGGAGGATGCAGCCAGATGTTCCAGGCTCCTGGCACAGAGGCATAGTGGGGGGACAGTTGCCCCCTCGGGCACCACGCTAGGGGGGCACCGGGCTGGGGGGGGGGGAGCAGAGCGCACAGCACCATGAGTTGTGCCAAGCCGTGAACCTGGTCTGTATGGAAATGCTCCCTGTAGGATTGTGCTACTTCTGATAGTAGTTTCCTATAGGAGCATTTCCTTACAGTCGTACAGATAAGAAAATGCTACCAGTAGCACCTTCCTATAAGGTATCAGCTTTCTACATTACAGGAGCGCTGTCTGGCCACCTGTGCAATCAAGCGTCCGAGGCAGGACCAAGCAGCAGGAGCAGCTACTGTAAAGGTAGGGTTACCCTGCCCGGCTCTGCAGAAGGGGGAGAGGGATTGGGCTAGGGCAGGGAAGCTGGGGGTGCCTGGCTCTGGGGGATGGGCATTGGATTAGAGTGGGGGAGGGTGTTCTGGGGCATTCCCTATGCTTTCTTGCTGTCTGAACTCTCGGATAGAAGTGTGTCTCCTGCAAATCTATCTGGGTTAGCTTGCCTGCTTTTTCCCCGAAAGCCCTGGGAGTGTCACACTGTGAAGGTGTTCTAAACAGTGTTTCTCAACCAACGGTACAGGTACCCTTAGGAGCACTCAAGAGAAGCCTGGCGGTACATCTACACAACTGAAATTTGGAGAAAACTGAATTTTTGGTTTAAGCTATTCAGTGCTTTATTATTTTTGAACTTTTTACACCCAAAAATTTCATCACCCACCCAGCTATGATTAAGTTGTTTAAACAAATGTGTTTCAATGGTAGAAAAAAAAATGGAGTGTCTGAAAACTGTGCTGGGGGTACTGATAATTTTTTTAAAGGGGGGTACTTTATAAAAAAAAAAAAAGGTGAGACACACTGCTCCAAACCATTCCTGTTGGCCTCCCTGTTTCCTTTCCTCTTTGGCAAGTTGGGCAGGTAGCAGTTTTGGTAAAAATATATCAGACATGTGCACAGTGTTCTCTCTACCTCAACTCGTGCTGGATAATCTCAATTCTAAAGGAGTTGGCTTTACTGAGGGGATCGATTCCTTCCATGTGCTGTTGTGGATAGTGCATGTGGGGGCCTGCCCCAAACTGGAGGGGGTGGGGGAGGATGCAGTACAAGTTCCCCCCCTCCTCTCAGGGTCCAGCTCAGAAATGCACCAGGTCCAGGGCCCTGCCCCATGGCAGCAGGACGGGAGGGGGGGGAGAGCAAATTTTGCTTTTGCCCCGGATGCATAACACCCTCACTACTCCTCTGCCACTAAGGCTGCATCTAGATTGGAATGATTTTCTGGAAATGCTTTTAATGGAAAAGTTTTCCGTTAAAAGCATTTTTGGAACAGAGCATCTAGATTGAACTGAGGTGTATGGGGGAAGGCATAGGGAACAGAAGGGCAGCTCAGCTGGGCTGTGAGGGGCTGCAGGGAACTGGTGCTGCGCTCCCTTGGATTGTGGGGATGGTTCTGGGGGAGGTGCAGGGAACAAGGGGGGGTGGGCAGCTCAGTTGGGTTGCAGGGGAGGGAGGTACAAAGAAGCCTAGCGGGGAGTGGGGGAACCAGGAGCCCTGAAATGACCTCCCCTGATCCAAAAAAATCCCTCATCTGGGACCAGTCAGGTTTGGGAAACCCTGGTCTAGCCAGCTTTCTATCCATCTTACACTCCATTTATCCAATCCATATTCTCTTAACTTGCCAGCAAGAATATTGTGGGTAACCATATCAAAAACTTTGGTAAAGCTGGCACTTGGGGCGTTGGGAGGACCAGAAACAACTTATTTGAATATTCATCATTTGCTTAATGCATATGCAAAGACACAAATGAATGTTACTGGTCTTCCAAAAGCTCGTGAATGGATTTACTGGTCCCCATGTCAAAAAAGTTTGGGAACCCCTGACATAGGGGGATCCTATGGTTGTGCCATAGATCCTGTAAAGTGGTTTCTATGCTACCCACCCTTCCTGTGGCTGTGTAGAAAGTGTGACAAGGCCTTTTCTGCACCCAAACAACTTGGCACTGTTGTCAGAAGCATAATTCTGAGCAGAATTCATATTGCTCAGTCTTACGCCAGTCTCATAACTAGGAAAGCACAGAGCTTTGCTTAAATCCACCTTTATATCCTGTGTCTGAGTTGTCCTGCGTGCTCTGAAGACTTGGACCTTAAACTTCGAGTCAAATCTGAATGCAGCCATGTTCCAATCCATTAGCTTATGTCTCTAATTGAAAATGCTTTGAAATTCCAGAATAATTTTAGTTATATTTAGCAGGCCAGTTGTTTCTGCAGTAACACACGAAAACCAACATCAGCTAGAGGAAACAAGCAGGCAGAGGATTATGTTTGCATTGTTTAGAGATACATTTCATTGTCTGATACATGCCTGTGGTAGAGATTCTTCTTTCCAGAGATTCCTGGCGTTGCTGCTGCTGCTGCTGCTCCATCACTTGCCTAAAATAATGGTTTTTAAAACATTCCGGTTTTATTTTTTACTCTTTTTAGAAAATATTCTATATACAGAGATGGGAAAAGTCAGCGTTTACATCTGGGGGTATTAATCAGCCCATTAAAGACATAAAGACTAGCCCAAAAGAGCAGAGGTGAGTTCTGATCTCATTTACACTGGTATAACTCCACGCTGACTTCAGCGGAGTTTCTCTTGATTTACAAAAGCGAAAGTGAGATCAGATTAGGGCCCTGTACTTGGAGTATATTGCAAATGCTTGTCACAAAAGTTTGTAATTCATATGATAATTCTATAGTGGAAATTAAAATATAAAACAGCCAATGAACTTTAAACCAGAGAGAACTGAAGTGTCTCAGGGTATGTCTAGACTGCATCCTTCTGTCGGCAGAGGGATGCAGATTAGGCAGGTCGACATTGCAAATGAGGCAGGGATTTAAATATCCTGTGCTAATTTGCATAAAAATGGCCACCACGTTTTGCCAACTCAGCACTTTGTCAGCAAAAAGTGGCAGTCTAGAGGGGGATCTGTCGAGAAAGAAAGCCTTTTTCGACAGATCCCTTATGCCTCCTGCAAGGTTTACAGGATCTATCGAAAAAGGCTTTGTTTCTCGACAGATCCCCCTCTAGACTATGGCGAGTAGATTTCAGCCAGTCGCTCTGTGCGCCCCATTCACTGGTGCTGCACACATGTGCAGTGCCAGTCTGGTGCAGGCGCGATGCAGGGCTGGCAAGTAGCTCTCGCTGCTCTGCATCTCTCTGCCAACAGAGGGATGCAGTCTAGACATACCCTCAGATCTCAATCCAGCACAGCTCTCAAGTATATACAGTACTTAACTTTAAGCATATGAGGAGTTCCACTTAAGTCAATGGGGTCTCTAACATGCTGAAGTTAAGCACATGCTTAAATGCTGTGATGATATAGGGCATCAGGAATGGCAGTACTTATAAGAATTTAAGGAAATTTGATTTGTATTTAGTGGTTGATTGTGCATAGCCAACTGCTTCACAAAGCTGTATAATAAATTCCTTTATTACAATCAGAATTTTGCAAGTAAAAAAAGTATTGGACACCCGGTTAACAGAACGATCTTATAACACGTTAAATACCATGAGCCAAATTTTGGCCTCAGTTACTGCTATGGTCAAGAGAACCAATATGTCTTGGCTGCCTCAAAAAGCAATGATCAAAAAATTACTCTGTTGAGTTTTTAACAGAAGTATGATCATGAGGAAAGTGTTAATATTAATACCTTTGTATGTAAAGCTTTGCAGGGTTGGGCTCTTGGTTGGGAATACATGATATAAAAGCAACCTATTATATCAATGGTATAATAAAGCATTCCAAAAATATTCTCCATTTTACTAAGGCATGCTGTGCTCCAAATTTCCCACTAGAGGGCGTCTCTTTCACACGAACAGCCCTGAAGAACTAGTGTTCACTGTTACAACCAAGAAACTCTATTTGACTTTTCTTCAGTTAACTAAAAAGCTGAACAACTATACCTAAAATAACAGCTATTTCTGAATCCACATCAGTGATTCTCAAACTGCAGGTCGAGACCCCCAAATGGATTGTGATCCCATTTCAATGGACTCACCAGGGCTGACTCACACTTTCTGGGGCGTAGGGCCAAAAAGTCCCATTGCCTGGGGCTGCCTGTCTTCAGCCCTGAGTGGTAGGGCTCAGATTACAGGCCCCCTGCCTGGAGATGAAGCCCTTGGTAACTCATGCTTTCTCTCCTCTCTCTGGGGTTGTGTTGTAATTTTTGTTGTCAAAGGGGGTCGTGGTGCAATGATGCTTGAGAACCCCAGTCTATATGGATATGAACTATATATTTCAACTACACTTGGATCGGACTCACATTGTGGAAAGAAATTATATTTATCTTATTACACATAGAAAGTAATGTTATATTTGCAAAGTCAAGCACTCAAAAGTCAGGAAATTCCAGAATTACTGTTGTCTGCGGAATCTTAATTTGGTCCTCTTGTGCATATGCATTATGATACTGTCTTTAACTACATAATCAAATACTATATTTTCCATGGGACTCTAGACTAATTCTATGGACAACTGTGTAACCTTAACTAAAGCTGTGCCTATAATGAATTAATAGGCAGTGAAAGCTTTAAATAGGTTTTCCTGGTTATATTTTATATTCATTGCATTTTAAATGCATATATTTGATGTACTGTAGAACTTGTGATTTTTACTACATGTAATTTTTTGTCCATAAAAATTATGTTAAGGTATGTACAAATAAAGTTAAAGGCTTTTAATTTGCATGACAGACGTTGCTACATTTTAGGCTCCAATTCAACAGCCGTGGATTGGCACATTCATAATTAGGATTATTCATTATGCAGTGATCAGTCTTGCACTAGATTCACAATAGAGACATGGCATGTCACTCCTCTGTATAAAGTCACAAGTTATATATTGTGTGCAGCAGTGCAATTTTTGAAAGGCCAGTAAGGACACACGAAAATTATACTGTTGGTGTGTAATAAAACATCCTGGAGAATACCCTTAGCTGGTTGAAATTGTTGTACCAACACAGTCTTTAGTAGAGCTCTCAGAATTTACATTAAGTCAGGATCTGTATCTTTTTTTCCACCTACAATCTCCTGCTATTCTTTGTAGGTATATAATGTGCATCTGAGGCACCTGCGTCAGCTGCACTTCTGATACTGCTATTGTAGACATGAAAACACAAAGCATTATCTACGCATTTTTCTCTTCCTGAACAGCTTGTTACTTATAAGCAGAAGGAGCTGAATCAGAACAAAGAGCTGAGGCCCTACACAAAATGCTAAACTGACATCTATTTTTTTCTCTTGAAAATGTAGAGCAAATGCAATAAAAGTGCCAAAGATGGAACGTGGGCAGTATGTTGCATGGCCGAGTGTGGTTCCAGAGTTGGGCTAATGTGCAAAAATCTAGCAGAACATTCTCTCCCCAACAGTTCCCTCTGCTGTAGGGGAAGCCTGGCCTGGCTGGGAACTGAAAGTTTGTGTACCCTCCCCAAAGAAGGAACCCAACACAGACATCTGAATTTCAGGCTGGCCCTGGCTGTCTCTTGGCAACTATACACCCTACATGTGCTAAGGGAGAACTCTTATAAACATTCACTTGTGTGAACAGAACTCACACACATAAATTGTCACATTTACATCAATGGAACTAAGTAAAGATTATTTATGTGAGTAAAGATTTGCAGGATGGGGCCTTATGTATCTACTAAGGGCTACTGATGGAGTATGGTCCTATTCAGTATGGTCAAACTCAGTATGAGTAGGAGTGGCCAGATTGAACTCTGTGATTTTAGAAAATAATCTATGCTATATTTAAAATTGTGAAAGAAAATCTTTTAAACAAATGCATTTTGCATTGTTTTTCTCATCTTCATTTACCTGCTCACTCGAAAGTTTAGAACAACATTTTCAAACTACTAGACCTGCAGTTAGGCCTTTAGCTGTTCTCACTATGCTGATATATGTGAAGCCAGAATTCTTCCATAGTATAGATACATATATACCAGTATAAAAGTTCATCTACTGGGTTCAATTAAATAAAATGAGATATGCTGGTTTAAAGCGCCTTACACCAGTGTTACTACATCCATACTAGGGCTTTTACTCTTACTGACATAATTATGCTGGTAAAACTTAAGTGTATACAAGGCCTTAGGCTATGTCTACACTTGCAGAGTTTTTTGCTGTTAGTTTCACTGGTGATAGTGAACAGGTAAGAGAAGAGTGCTGGTTTGAACTCAGTCTCATAAAAAGCTCTCTTGATAATCTTAAGAAAATAGCACAAGAAAACACGATGCAAATTACTTTTAAATTTCATATTATCTGAATCTCTGGACATCAGTATATCTTATTCTTGCCTTTTAATTGAAAAAAATGGTTTGAGTTCTTTACTAATTAGTAACTGAAAATCATTACATATAAGCCAGGATCATGACAGAAAGTAGCTGTAAAAACAGCTAAAAAGTTTTATGTGGAAAAAATGGTGTCAATTAGCAAAGATGTCCTGATTTATATACATTGACTTGCATAATATAAAATCACGTTAATTTAATAAAACTAAATACCGGTACTTTGAACTCATCAGGTATTTTCAGAATAACAATACTCAGAATATAAAATTATCAATACTAAGTGTGCCAAGTACTGATTAAAGCAGTTTGGCGAGTGATTTTTAAAGTATAATAATGAGCCACTAGAAGGCTTTTCCTTTAAATGTGTGTGAAGGCACGTGTTTCTTTGTGCATAAATCACACACACACAGATACTCCAATGTTGTAAAGTCAGGAATGGTTCTGTTAGGGAAACCAGGGTGTACATGGGACAATAGAGATTCTCCCCTTGGAGATATGCACAGTTCAATTTGTGTGCTGAAGACAGAGTATATTTCCTAATGCTACATTTTTTGATAAACCTGTAACAAACAAATACACAACCTACCTACCTACCTGTGGGAAACTAGACTGTTGAGTCTGACTAATTACAGGCACCATCCACCTGAATGTAAACAAATCAAGCCCAAATTTTGCAAATGGATATACACAAGCAGACCTCTGTGCCATCACAGAGACCCATGGCTAACAACTGTATGATTGGGGCCTTAACTATTATAAACTAGCATGGGTCATTTTTTAAAAATATAAAATAATTTGAATCTAACACATTGTTTTCAAATTTTGTTTCTTACCTTCTCTGCACTTCCATTTCATCTGGAGAGGGTCCATTCTGAACCTGGCGCTGGGTAGTTGGACCTATGCAAAATACAACAAATTATAATTAGTAAAACAAATGCGGTGACAACATTGTTACCATTTCTGAAACACAGTGCTGTTCACAGACTCGTACAGAAGTGTTAAGAGAGATCAAAGCTGAAATGATTCAAGGAACATGTTTTCTATCCTTTATTTATTATTTTAATTTTTTTTAACACACATTGAATCAGATGCTGAGCTAGTGTAGTAAATTACTTCCATTCTATTGAGAGAGAGAGAGACAGATCCAATACCAGCATATAGGAACAGCCATATTAAGTAATTCATAGGCACTGGTGATAACTGTAGACAACATAATGCAATTATGCTAGAATGAAGATTTGCAGACCTGCAACATTTGAAAGGATGATGTGGTACAGCTGTCAAGCATATTACTAAAATGCAAAGTTTTAGTCTCTGTAGAATTTAAATCAGGCTTGGTTGGATCAGGATGTTTTCAATCTAGCCTTTGGTGAATACACTGTACAAGTTCTATGTGTGGAACTTCTGCTGAGATCCAGTGTGCAAAATAAATACTGAATGGTGATAGATTCCGGAGGACAGGAGAGTGACCGTATGAACCAGAGAGAGCAATTTGCCCTGAGAGGGTTGTTCAGCTTTACTTCCCTGTTCTCTAATCCTCACTATTCATAACGGCAGCCTCAACAGCTTTTATTAATTTATACAAATAAAAGGACAAATTTCCCTCTAACTCTAAGATGCTGGTGATTTTAGATCCAGGCTTTGGTTTGGACCCATCTACAATAAATGCATATGTCTTCTCTAAATATAAACACACACATCTATTATATGTTCTTATGTTCACATCTATTATATGTTTAATTAAACATTTATTTGGTTGCAGACGTTCTAGGGGTTATGGGTACATTTTTAAAAGCCCTCATATCCCTCATCAACTAACAGGACTCCAACTTGAAGAGTGCTGCAAGATTTGACAGTATTACTAACAAGGAAATTTCACTTGGGAAAAACCATACTATCACGCTAACTGCTATACTGCAGCTGGCAAAATGAACGAGAACACATGCATGTTCAGGCTAAGTGCCAATGTGCGTGCAAGCCTGAGAGAAAGTGTAAGGGTGAGACAGCAGAAATAACTGATTGCCATGAGTACAAACCGAATCAGGATCCCCAGAAATGGTTAGCAAAAAACACTGCATTAATCTGGTAGATCAGCAAGAATCTTCTGAAATGAACACTAAATAACATGCCCAGTTTGGCTAACATGTACATTTGTAATGCAGAAGAAATCCAGATCAGATCTTACCGAAAAACGCCCCCCCTACATAAGAAGCCAATTTCTTTTTTTAGTCTCGGTGTAATTTTGCATAAGTTTCAGATTTTAAAGAAACAGGTTACAAAAAATTCTTCTACAACAGGTTTGGAGCAATCCAGTTTGGAGGTTGGGTTGAAATTTTCTGCCAGATGAACATCTAGCAAGTTAATTCTACCTGCATATCAGATAGGTACTAAGAAGTATACAATTCTGCAAACACACATGCTTAACTTAGACTCATGTTTTTAGTTATGCACGTGCGTGTTTGCAGGGTTGCGGTCATAATTACATCAACTGCAACCTATAACCTGGGATAATTTTAGAGTGCAATTTGCACATGTTATAAGTAACCTGTCTTTATTCAGGCAGACACACTGAGTTAATGAAGAGAATGGTTTGGTGAAGCGCACACAAAAAATTTATGAGCATTATTTAATACAAATATAATTGAAATCAGAAAAATTAATACATGTAAATATAAGACTCAGGTAAGGACAGTAAAGTGGTTTACTGCGTTGTTCATTCTTACAACCTCACATTGTTCTTATACGTACAACCTTATGGGAACCATATGAAGTAACAAGCTAAGTGAAGATGCCCATCATGACCATACTATGGCTTTTGTCATTGTTTGTCATCCCTGGCGATTCACTTTGGACACAAAAGAGGAGGACATCATAATAGGATAAACCCACTGATAATCATCAAGTGTCATATCTCTTAATTCATACATTTACATACCAGTCACTGGGGATGTAAAAATATAGAAAAACATTGACTATGTAACTGATTAAAATTCTGTCAGGAACACGGTTAAGCGTTTTAGGGGATGCAGCAGTAGGTGAAGAAAAGGTCACCGCTCCTCTCCAAGGTACGGCAGCTGGCCCCAATCCCAGGCTCCCAGAAGGCTCCCGAACTCTGCCATGGCTGCTGGCCCCACTCCTGACAGGCTCCCAGCCCTACTCACCATGGCTGTCGGCCCTGCTCTCAGTAGGCTGATAGCCTCACCATGGTAGCCGGCCCTGCTCCCCACTCTTGGCTTGTGCCAGGGTCCCAGCCAGTGAGTTTAATTACAGGCAGTCCCCGGGTTACGTACAAGATAGGGACTGTAGGTTTGTTCTTAAGTTGAATTTGTATGTAAGTCGTAACTGGTACATATTGTAGGGGAAACTCTAGCCAAACATTTCTCCAGAGCTCAGTTTTATTCTCCCACACCTCACTTGGTTCAGTCTTTTATTCTCAAGCTGAGGTGTCTGCTGAGAAAAGCCACTCCACGTCTCCCTGGCCTGCTGGGGGGGAGGGGGGGGTGCTAGCTTCGTGTCTCTCTGGTCTGCTGGGGGGAAGCAGCTAGTGTGGGGTTGCCTCACCCCGTTTGTAAGTAGGGATCCGATGTAAGTCGGATCCATGTAACCCGGGGACTGCCTGTATTTAAGTAACCTTATCAGCTTCAGCATATGGATTAAATGGTTAAACAGTTAAACTTTAACACCCGTACCGGTGACCACAGTTAACTAAGTCTTAGCCCCTGTCCATATGTGGCTTTTCAGGTAACCATAAATAGGGTTTCCGGTTGTTGCTATACGCTACATGCATTAATATATTTGCATTAGCATCAACACCTTGCCCACAAAAAGTGCCCACAAATGGGCGCTTTTTGCTAAATACTATAATCCTATCTCAGTGGCTCTTTACCTTTATAGACTATCATACCTCTTCAAGAATCTGATTTGTCTTATGGCTGCCCAAGTTTCACCTTACTTAAACACTACTTGCTTTCAAAATCAGATATAAAAATACAAG